AATGACTATATATGTAATATAGGCAACTACAGAATATCTTTGTTTACATTTTTGGTTGGTGGTGTGCCTCGAGATTTTTTCAATTAAAACAGTGTTTCAACAAAAAAGGTTGAAAAACACTGCTCTAAAGTACACCACTATAATTATCTTATCAGTATTACTACTAAATAAAATTGAAAAGACAAATCTGAGATATGATCTAAAAACTTAGAATAAGTGCCTGGTCAAAGATATAAAACAACACACAACAAAAGTGGTTTTAGTGCTTTTCAAGCAGGATCAACATACCGGGCTTTTTGACTATTCACACACTTCTGTTACTGCTTTTGCCCAATAAGTTGAAAGTTTGAGGTAAACTCTTGGCTCATCAACATTGTCAATACATCGTTTTTAATTTAATTGTGTAAGTATCGTTAATATCTTACAATAAGACATCATTACCTAGTCAAATTTCCTGCCAGCTTTAACATTTTTTAACATCAAAATATGGGATGGACTGCTCAAGCACCCCTCCTACCGGACTTAGCAAGACTTCTGGAGGAATCCCCCAGAAAACAAGAACATACTTTGGGTGTATTTTGCACCTGTTGAATATACATTAATTTTGCTTAAAATAGATGATTTTACTGTTTTGTGAATTTCACTCATAAAAATATTTTGGGGATAAAGTAGCTTGTTCTTAGAAAATGTAAACTTTCAAAAATGTATCTTTTGAACAGGTGTTTGAAGGTAACCAAATCTGTATCATTTCACTTCAAAGAGCCATAAGCTCCATCTCTAATTGACAGTCAAGGCTGCTGGGTGAGGTTGTAAAGTAATGTAATAAATAAACAGCTTTTGAACCTCTATGTTGTTCTTCATGGGAACAATTCTTCTGAAAGTTTGAAAGCTGTTTTCTTGCTGATCTTTTTTTATTTGTGGGCGGATTTTAAGGCAAAAAAAATTCAAAAATATATAGCCTTGAGTGAAAAGTGATTGCCTCCTAAACCATATAACTGGTGTTTCCACCTTCTGCAGCAAAAACTACAGTCAAGCATTTTGCGCTCACTTGCAATGAGCATTATGGAGGAATTTTAGGATACTCATCTTTGCAGAATTGTTGTAATTCAGCATGAACATCTCGGTAGAGCTCAGGTCAAGACTTTGAGTAGGCTTCTCCAAAGTCTTAATTTTGTTTTTCTTTACAAACAAAATTCTGAAGAAATTCATAATTTTGAATTTCTGTGTGTTTTGGATCATTATCCTGCCAGTTTGTTTCAGCTTGAGGTCACAAACAAATTGCTGGATATTCTCCTTCAGCATTTTTTGGTATCATAATTTATGGTTCCATTTATAACAGCATTCTAGGTCCTGAAGTTGCAGTAACAATTGTCTTAAATTACTTTGGACATACACACATGTATGTGTGTGTGTGTGTGTGTGTATAGCATTAGCATTTTTATAACAAGTAAAGGGAACAGTTATTTTCCAGGAAAATGGTGCCTGGAAAATATATAATAATGCCCCTTGAGGTTATTTTATCTGTAATACTATTTGAAATACTAAACTTTTCTAAATAAAATGGAAGAACACTGTTGTGAACTTTAGTTATTGTTTTGTTCTATATGCACAACCTCAAAACAGGGTATTAGACTGACAATTAGAAGTTCAAAAGATCACAAAATATGAAGTCATATGCATGTTTTCATGTTTTAGCATTCACTGAACTGGGTGGTGCCATTGTCAGAACGTGGTCGCTATGATGACATCTTTCTGAAGACGGACGCAGATCTGGATGGCTTTGTCATTGGACAGGAAGTAAAGGATATCTTCATTCAATCTGGACTTTCTCAGAACATCCTTGCACATATATGGTAAGGATGAGTGGTTGCTAGTTTGTATTTGAAAAATGAATGTTTTGAAGTTAGCAGTACTAACTATTAGCAGTACTAACTGTGTTAACTATAGTTACAAGTTTTTATAGGTACTCTGTTGACTTCTGTAGTTTGGATTTTAATGCTGCTTAATAGTGTATAATGTCTAATTTACAGAGATTGGGACTGCAAAATTTGTACAAAATAATCTGGATCTTGTTTTTCTACTTTTTCAATAAAAGTGCAGCTTTTCACGAATTACTAAGAAGTGAAAATTTACACCTGGGAGAACCCTACCTACATTGCTTTGTCTTTGTTTCAGATGCATTTTAATATGTTAAGCTCGAGAACATACACAACACATGCATGCAAGAATCTTCTCAGCTACACTGGAAGATCTTCTGACCAGGTGTAAAGAGATCTGGACAGGACAAGCTGTTCTTCTGGACTGGATTCATTTGTGGAACCAGGAACAAAAAACCTGCACACACTTCCTTATCGGCATGTTTTTATAACGAAAGGATTTGTCTGCATTTCATTACAGTTAAACTTAATTTTCCCTCTTATTCAGCTTGCAGTCATATTTTACATTAAGTCAAGATTTTATAGTAGAATATTGTGAAGTTTATGTCAGAGTTTGCTAGCTTTTTCTGGATATTTAGGTCAATTTGATGAAAGTACAGTTTCAAGAAAACGTATATTGAAAATGTTTTAGCACGTAAGAAATCTTTCCAAGTACAAGTTCATCACTTATTTAAATGGCTTCATGTATATAAAAGAATATTGCCTCATGGACGGGTCTTGCCTTTTGTCGCTGGTGAGACGTAGGGCCGCCATCTTGGAGCAGTTGACCGCTTCCTTAAAAAATATATGTAATATTGTTTTATTTCTAACGATGGGCTCTTGTGTCAGATAATCTAAATCAATGTTAGGGAATAATTAAAACTTTTTAAGATTTACAAATCTCGGTTAGCCTTGGGGCTGAACCCCGGTATTACACCAAGCACTGTAGCTAATATGTCTGGCATTTCACTGATGGACATACATACAGTATAGTAATATTCTATTCTCAAAATATTTACAATATGTCCATCTTGCATACAAAAGTTATCCCCTGAGCCCTCATGTCAATAGTCCATTGATTTGAACAAATATAACCCGTAGTGCTGAAGCATCTTCGGCTGTTTTGGTTTAGCCAAGTAGGACGAACGACCAATTGAAGATGGCCGCCGTCTTTCCTACGCCCGAGAAGCCAATGCTTGGTCTGTTCTTTTATTATGTCTATGTATAAATGGATCAGATAGACTTATAGGATCAAAAGGACCAAGATTGTAAATGGAACTCGCATTGTGCCATCACACATCAAGCATATGAACAATAACATTAAATGATTGCACTGAAATTATGAGCTTTCCATCTGCTGTGACCTGAACTTATGTAGTCTCACAACTTCCTGCTGAACTGTATTGACCTTTCCAACCAATTGTGTAAAAATGTTGGTTTTGATGTTGGTCTGCAGGATGATTCTGCACTCTACACTGGAGACTGGAATTACAAGTGCCGCTTTTGCCAAAGTTTTGAAATCAGGAATAGATTCTGCAATTGAACTGATCATAAATTGGCAAGAATTTCTGAATGAAGGGATTTCCTTATCTCCCATGCCACAGCAGCAGTTCAGCTCAGAGCTGGACTTGCTCTGAGCCGAACAAGTCCAGCTCAGAGATGATACTTAGATATTTTTTTAATGACTTAGTTAAGGGGTAAAGCTTGGGTAATTCTTTTCCTTAGCTTTGTTGCTGACAAGTTGGTACAGGAGGGGCAGAATGGGACAATGAGGAAGCGTTCCGCTGGATCTCTGGGGAGATGGCTTTGGCAGGAATTTGTTTGATATGATGATTCTCACCCACTTTCAAGGTAGCACTTTGCTCAATGCATACATAATCAGGGCTTGAGTATAATAGGTCCGGGTCGAAGGGAGGCAGGCTGGGTTCTGCAGTGCAAAAAGGTCTCATATGGATTCCAAATACTATTTACCAATGCAAAAGACATTATTTTGACCTTGTTGATGTAATAACCTTGCAGTTTCTGCATTAACAAATGATTTAAAAATTTGGGGCAGTAAAATAGTGGACCGAGCTTCTGTTGCTATTCACCAAATTGACCAAAATAAATGGTAAGTGGCATGTTCTTGCATATCGGTTAATCAAGTCCATAGGAGCCCAACGTACTTTACACTACCTTCAGTCATTTCCCCAATCATTCACCCATTCATGCACACATTCACACACTGATGGTAGCAAGCTCCTGGATAGTAGCCACAGCCTCCCTGCACAGTCTGACAGAGGTGAGGCTGCTATGCAACAGTACCATCAGGCCCTCCGACCACCACCAGCAGGCAAATGTGGTTGAAGTGTTTTGTACAAGGACACAATGACAGAAGCAGACAGAGTGGGATTCAAACCGACTGCCCATCAATTCCGGGATGAACTCCTACCACTGCAGTAGCTCCTCTCCACCTTTGTCTAATCTAATGTTTGCTATCAAGCAATTGATTTCATGTGCAAAGCATTGAAAATAAATAACTTCAGAAAGGAATTGTTTGTATATATGTGTAATATATTTTTAAAAATATACATTTGTACAAATAGATGCAAAGTGTATTTTTAAAATGATTGTCCAAAGTATAATTTTAGAAACATATTTAATTAGGATTTAAAGATATTTTAGAAAAATACACTTTAAAAAGGGTACCAAAATACATTTTTAAGTGTATTAGAAGCATGTTTTTAAAAAATTTACTTATTTTACAGTTTTAATATGATAAGTATACCCACTTGATAAAATACTAAAAATGTACTTCAGAAAAATACAGTATATTTAAAATATACTTAAATATCCTATTTTTTCCCCAGGGCTCTCCAATGTAGCTGTGCCACAGTAAGAGGAAGTCTTTGACTTGTGGAGTTGTGGAATTTTAAGGTCCACATGACATTACAGTGTGTCTTTCCTGAAACTCCTCCTTCTACTGCTAGAGCTAGAGTTAAGAGTGTATTGTTGAATTACCATGCCAACCTCCTGTAAACTTTACATGGCCTCTACTTGAAATGCACCTTAGCAAGATCAGAGGACCCTACAGTGCACACTATATCCAGTCATTTACCCATTCACGCACACATTCACACACTGTATTCAGGCTTTTCTGGGACCTGTGACCACTTTCTCTTTACAGGTCGTCTCTGAACAAGAAGGTTTATATTCTGAGCAGGGAAAAACAAAGTTGTGACTTGATTTCCCCAGTGGAGGTCTTGCTTTGTAGAGATGTAAAGAGATATACAGAGATATACTAACTGGTAGAGCAGCTGACAAACTATTGAAATGTTGGCAGCATAGCATCTCTGCTACAAGGCATGATTAAAATCACCAGATATTGCTACAAACGCCTCAGGGTGTTCTGTCTGTTGCTCCGTAACAATAGAACTGATGTCTTCACATGTATTGTCAGCCATAGCTGAGGGAGGAATGCATGTAATTGCTAAAATAACACTGGTTAAATATTATGTCGGAAACTTACTGCCAAGAGTTCAGTGTCTGGACTGTAGAGACAACACTTTCTGCTATTGTCCTGGAGGACACCGTCTGTTGTTGATGAGCACTGCTGATCCACCTCCTGTTAATCTGTTTATTAAACCTGATTAAACAGATTTAACATCTGTTTATTAAATCTTTGTCTCCTCATATAATCAGGAAGCCCAGCAGAGAGATGTTGGAGTTGGAGATATGATCCTGCAGCGATGTCTATGTAAAACAGATACTGCTGCATTCCCAAAACCCTGGGTGGGTCATTGTCAGGGCTTAAAGTTCATCCAATTTGTTAGCCATCAGTCTCACATTGCCCAATATGATTGATGGAAGTGATAGTTTGAACTTCTTCCCTCTCTATCCTCTTTGCTCCTGCTCTGCATCCACGCCCCTCTTTTTGACTCCCTCTGGGATTTGTGGCTTCAGTTGTGGTATTATTTCAGCATTTTTGTCCCAAGGATCATCACTCTTCCCAACACAGTCATTGTTGATCTTGGACAACCTGACATTCTCATCCTAACTATGAACTCTTACTACACTGCTTCACATTGGCAACATAATTAACATATATTGATATGTGCAGTTCCCGGTGGGGGTTGCCAGTTTATGAGCTTTTTTGTGATTTCATGAACTGAAGAGCTCATGACGCGTCACCCGGTTGGACAACCATAACATCTGCCGCACTCTTCCTCTTCATTGCGCTAAGAGTGCGGGTTAAATCTAGTCAGAATGTTTGCCAAGAGTATAAATTAAGCAAACATTGTTGCTACCTGAATCTGGGAATCTCCATCCTCCTCCTTCCATGGATCACAAGGGTAGGCTTTGCTTTCATGTCATTATTTAGCATAATTTGAAAAAAATAAATAAAAGAATAGGTCTGCTGTTTTAGTGGGCCATGTGCATGTGGCCTGTATTAGTGTGGATTAGGTTTGTGCTGGTTTTGTTGGAGAGGTGGTTGTGCTCTTGCAGGTCAGGTGCAGTGATAGTTTTGTGCATACCCTCCGATAATATCCTGCAGGTGCCCCTGCCCAAGACCAATAATAGGCAGGTACATTATTAAATAGTGTTTTGTTTTTTTAAAAGAAAGAAACATCTTGCAGTATTTCAACTAATGCATATAATAAATTCTAACCATCACCGCTAGAGTGAAACAACAACTGTTATGTTTTTGCTTCTTTCTGGAGATTATTTTCAAGATCTGAGTTTTAATTATGTTAACTAAGGGTTCTTAACATATGCTTTAATTTGGTTGCTTCTGGATTAATCCAATGATACAGGATACTGTGAAATAAATTGAAAAGGCCCATAGACCTGGATTGGAATTTAAAATTTTTTCTCTTATTATATACCTTCCATGCTCTCTTGCAGATGTTTTCTGTCCAACAAGTTACCTGAGCCACAGCAGAGCTACTTCTCTTTCTGGTTCCAGGAGAACAGCTTGTCCAGTCTAGATTTATTTTCAGCTCATCAGAAAATCTTCCAGTGCAGTTGTGAAGATTCCTTCAGGCATGTTTTGTATCTGTCCTCTAGTTAAATGTTTTAAAATGTATGTTAAGCAAAACAAAGACAAAACAACACAGATAGATTAAAAAGTGCCAGCATCTCTGCTACAAGGCATGATTAAAATCACCAGATATTGCTACAAACACCTCAGGGTGTTCTGTCTGTTGCTCCGTAACAATAGAACTGATGTCTTCACATGTATTGTCAGCCATAGCTGAGGGAGGAATGCATGTAATGGCTAAAATAACACTGGTTAAATATTATGTCGGAAACTTACTGCCAAGAGTTCTTTGTATACTTCTTTGTAATTAATTAGGCCCGACCAGCTAAGCACTGCGAAGGCCTATTGAAATTGTGCTGTTTATTGGCTTTGTACCTGTATAGCACATTACCAAGTCCAGCGGACCCCAAAGCACTTCACACTACAGTCATTCACCCATTCATGCACACACTCACACCCTGATGGTGCCAAGCTAGCGGCTAGGTGCACCAGGGCAGTCTGATATGACAGTGAGGCTGTCATGCACTGGCACCACCGGGCCCTCTGACCTCCACCAGCAGGCAACGAGGGTGAAGTGTCTTGCCCAAGGACACAACGACAGGTGGGTGAAGTGGGCATTGAACCAGTGACCTGATTGCAGGGTGAACTCCTGCCCCCATCTCCACCTTTGCTGCAATGAAAAGGTGATGTGGCGCGATAAAGAAAAGCTGCACCGTTACTGAAGAACAGCGCAGTAAAGTCCAGATACTTTTAATACATATTTTACACTCCCAATCTTTTTACACTAGCATGCATAGGTTATTAAACTCTGGGTTTTCAAAATCTAAAGTACAGCTGTTGACACACAAAAACAATTGTCACAAATCTGAGATTTTTCTAGCAAAACAGAATCAAAGATGTTTGCTCTGCTTCCTTAAAATAATACTGACTATAATAAATACTCAGTATTATTCCAGGATAGAGTTTGGTTATTTTTAGCTTTGGCAGATTTCTGATCTGACGTACTTCTAACTATATTGTAGTATTATAGCCAAGCAAGTTGTGCCAATTAATGTAACCTCAACTTCCATTTTTTTCTACAACTCTAAACTTCTCATTATTAGCAGAATGATGTTCTGCTGGTTTTTGTTTGTCTGTTCAGTTAAAACATATTAAGCAAGTTGAAAAGAGCTTATAAATTCTACGAACCTTCCTCAGCTTGTTGCTTCTAATTATTATTCTGCCATATTATGTGCCTTTTTTTGGAGACCTAAATATATTAAAAAACTCACCATACTTCACTGAAAATTGTCCTCCACAAGTAATTTGTGGATTTCAGTTAAATTCCCCTCGGCTTTGGGGTCTTTACAGTGCCACATAAACTGAGCAAGGCCTACTGTACTTCAAGAGATCTGAAATTTGGTACATAGGTAGATCTCCCGCCCCGAAAGTCTTTGTTCACTTAATCTTAAGCCTCTGAGTATCTGAAAAAGCAATATAATTTTTTTTATAATTTTTAATCTTAATACCTGCATTTGATTTGTTTATATTTTGAGCTTATCAGCTTCATCTTTAATGCAGCCACAAAGGGGGTCATTTTGTGTCTTTTGTGCTGGTCCCAAGCCCGGATAAATGGGGCTTCATCTTTGGTCAGTATGTAGTTGAGGGAAGGGGATTAAAACTGATCAAAACTTTGTTTTGACATATGACAAAGCAGACGAAACCCACCATGATCGATCCCAATCCAGCCTCTCACAGGAATGCAGTGCAATATTTGGTGGGCGTGGCCTAATTCTTCCACAGCACCCCCTAGAATTTTTTTAAAAAACAGCCCCAATCTATGCTTTGACTAACGTGCATGAAATTACACGTGTAACTTGTCAAGTCCCACAAAAAAGTCTCTTGTATTGATGGTCCAAACCCAACAGGCAGTCAGCTAGTTTGGATCCCAGTGAACTACTGCTACAACTTTTTACCTGCAGACTTCCCAATTACTCATCACAGTCTTGAACTTCTAATGATCAAAAGTTATCAAAAGCTTTTTGTAGTACCACACCATGTGGGTATGGCCAAGCCTCAAAATATGACCATTTGACATGGGGTAAAATAACTTCCACACAAACTTTCTGGGTCAAATGGTGACATCACCTGAGCCCAGGGATGGGCAGCTCCAGGCCTCGAGGGCCGGTCTCCTGCAACCTTTAGATGTGCCTCAACTTCAACACACCTGAGTCAAATAATGAGGTCGTTAGCAGGACTCTGAAGAACTTGACTGCACTTAGAAGATTCAGCTGTTGGATCCAGGTGTGTTGGACTAGGGAGACATCTAAGAGTTGAAGGACACCAGCCCTCAAGGACCAGGGTTGCCCACCCCTGCCTTAGCCCCATCCCCTTATAACAGAAAATCACTTATTTTACCTTTGGTCATCTTCCTTTTACTCTGATTCATATAGATTTCAACCTGTTAGATGAAAGAACATAATGTTCTTTCATCTAATGATGCTGCATCCTTCCCTCGACTTTTGTCTTGTGGCTGGAATGTTGAAGCAGCAGAATAGCAAATTCCAATCTTTTGCTGTTTGCATACGGTTGGCTCTAAATCACACATCCATCCAATTTGCACCAAACTGGATATGAATGACCTTTGTTTTGTTTTGGTTTTTTGTTTAGTTTTTAGGTTTTTTTGGCTCTAGTGGCCTTGACAGTGATCCCTCGTTTTTCGCGGGTTATTATCGTAAAAATAACCCGCGATAAGTGAAATCCGCGAAATAGTTACCTTTATTTTTTACAATTATTACACAGCATAATTAAATACTCTACGTTGAAACCAAAGAACAAAACCTGTTCCTCAATCGGGCCTTAATGTGATCTGGAGTCGTGTCATTAAAGTGTCTCCTCCAACCTGCCCCGAGAGATTCACAGCTGTATCTACGGCAGAGCCTCCAGCCACAGATTTTTCCAGCAGGCATTCAAAGTTTCAGTTTCCATCTCCTGAATGGCCAAATCTGTATTAAGTATATTTTAGCCAATTGGGACGCAGAACACAATGCACTGTGAAAAAACCTGCACAAAAAAAACCTGCTAGGCAGCGAGACCGCGAAAGGTGAACCGCGTTATAGCGAGGGATCACTGTAGTTCAAAGTGCTAGGACAGGAAAGTAGGAAATGAGAGAGTGAGGACATGCGGCAAAGGTCATCTGGATGAGAATCTAATCTGCGACGGCCACATCGAGGACTAAGGCCTCTTTATGTGGGTTGTGCTTAACCCCTGCGCCACCACAGTACCCTGGATGACCTTTGTTGACCTCTAAAGAGGAAAACAGGATTACATTGGAATAGTCCTTGACTATTCCAAAACTAAATTGGATGGAACATCTGATCTGCAACAGATTTTTTAAATTTGTCATCAGGGGGTACTGCTACCCACATTGGTGTAATAGTTAAGGACATCACTGAAGCCCCACCCATTGATATCCTCCTGCTTCTCCCTGTGTATAAGACTGAAATTGTATCTATTAACTCTTGACAACCACACATGACATGTTCAAAAGTCTACAAGAACTAGAAATAGAAAGTAAGTTAAAGTGCTCTCTTGTTTTTAGCATTTTTGTAACAGTATTGGAATGACTGTTAAAACATTATTACAGTTTTTTACATAGATTTATATTCTGACACAAACTTTCACAATGACACAAATTGCACCTGAAGTAACTACAATCACTCAGGTGATTCTCGTCAATTTCTGTTGGTATGCACAGCAATTCTGAGTAAAGTAAATGTAATTTTGTTAGCTATGTGTTCTTCTGCTCTGCAGGTCTTTGGCAGATACAAGACAGATAGGCAAACTGAACAGGGAGCAGTTTGCCCTTGCAATGCACCTCATCCATCAGAAAGTAGGCAAGGGTATTGACCCACCCCAAGTCCTCACTGTTGACATGATACCTCCGTCAGAGAGAGGAACTCCCATACCTGTAAGTAAATCACACAAATTTTTCATCTGATTCTATTTTAACTAAATTTATTTAAAAAAATCTACCTTAAAATGTGCCATTTTTAGCACCAAATATTGTAAACAACAACTTCAACAAGAGTATGAAAAGATTTAAAACCAATAGAAGTCAGTAATAGGATACATACATTTGGTATATTTTGAGGAGGGCTGCATAGTGATGTAGTTGGTAGAGCTGTTGCCTTGAGGCAAGAAGGTCCTGGGTTCAATTCCCAGCCCAGGGTCTTTCTGCATGTGTTTTGCATCTTCTGTGTATACATGGGTTTTTTTCCGGGTATTCCGGCTTCCTCCCACATAGGAAGCCGGAATGGGAGACCAACTTGCACAAAAACAAGTTGGTTTCTCTAAATTCTCCCTAGATGTGAGTGTGTGTGTGTATGGTTGTTTGTCCTGTCTGTCTCTGTGTTGCCCTGCGACAAGCTGGTGACCTGTCCAGGGTGACCCTGCCTCTCACCCGAAATGTTTGCTGGATATAGACACCAGCAACCCACCCGACCCTGCCAGGGGTTAGAAAATGGATGGATGGATATTTTCAGGATTTAATAGTCAAATGGAAAACATTCGTACTGCATACTATTTGCATACATATATCAGAGGTCACCCTAGACTTTTTTGTTGTCCGTCAATTTGACTGACTGTCTTAAAAATATTCTGTCATATTCTATTTTTATCAGTCAATTTTTTTATTTTTCTGTTGCATTTAATTTTTATGCAGTTGAATTAATATTCAACAAGTTGAAAAGTGTTGTTGCAAAACATCCCCTCACTCCCTCCCTCTCCATCTCCTTCTCTATCTACTTCTCCTTCTGAGAGTGTGAGCTGTGGTAGCAGCTCTCTGTCTAATGGGTGAATTGAGTTTCCTAAATCTGCTGGGGTTTACCCTGTCCAGAACTGCGGTAAACTCTGTTTAAGCTGGTATTGTTTCTCACGACCTTCATCCAGATGTCCCACCGTCTTCCCCCTGTGAATTAGCCAGACTGAGCAGCCTGCAGCCAACTAGTTTCACAGAGCACACCTGTTAACGGTCGCTCTTTCTCTTTATTACAACTTGCACTTGTTACTGAACCAGGTTGGTTTTAGTGACTCGGGCGAGTCCCAAGGATGTTGTTTTAGTTTTGGGCTAAAAGCAACCTATCAAACATTTACCACCTTTTCCTCTCCAGAATCAAACATCATAGCTATTTTACAGTCATTTTCTTTACATTTTCTTTATGATAAATATTTTATTAGTGAGGCAATTTTGCAAGGGTCAGTACAGCTTAATTCAGTAGCAGAAATGATCAAATAAGTAAAATCAACCTATCCTATCTTTCCCTTATGCTGACACTGAGAACTAAAAAGGGAACCTTTGAGAGAGCGGACCCAGTATGGTATTTCGGGACCCCAGAACTAGCCTGAGGATGAAGAAGGTCAGCTGTGAGTGCTGTGAGCCTCCTCCATCAGGACAAGGCTCACAGCACTGATCAACAAAGGCAGGTGTACCTGCAGGTCTGATGAGGTTTTGTCTCTGCATGGATGGTGAGGTCACACAGGCCTTGGGTGCTGGCAGGAACAGTACTGATTTAGATCAGTAGGTCTTGGGTCTTAGGGTGACTTTCTTGTGCACATGGTGGTTCTCAGCTTCTTGTCTTGCCACTCTTGAGCAATATTCACCTTGTTTCGAGATCTTTCTGGTCCGTTGTGATGTAAGCGAGCTGGTCTCACTGAAGGAAGGCACCAGTCCTTCTTCTTTGCCTTTGTTCTTTGTCTTCATCTTTGCCTTGGTCTTCATCTTTGTCTTTGGGGTCTGAACCCAGCTGATGAGAGAAATACAATTTGAAGCCACATGTTGCGGGGCTAACGGGTTGGTCCCCATGTGCAGAACAGTCTTTGGCTCTGTGGCCCCGGCTCTTCTTCAGCTGCAGAGTTCTTTGTCCATCTCGATCTTGGCTCAAAGCTGCCTGGAGGATCCAACCAAAGATTCCTCTTTTGCATTCACTTTTCATAAGGTTTATCCCCCCTACAGACGTGTTTGCTTTGGCTGGCACTGTTGCTGTGCTTGTTTCATTGGCTGACTGCTTGGACAGATGATCAAATATCCATCATTGTCTTAGAGACATTATGTCTGGATGTCTGTGCTAATGTCCCAGGGTTGTTCAAAGGTCAGCCTACATCTGTTGAACAAGCAGCGCAACTTCTCCCAGTTTTTGTTAAACATCTTCCAGCTCCCTTTTTTTTTTGCTCAAACGCAGTATAAGTCAAGTTCAAATCTGATTGATTGAAAGGATTTTGTCTCCACAGCTTTAGAAGAGCAGGGTGGAGCTGAGTGTGAGCATTTACTTATGCAGCACTCTGCACATATTACAGTCTAATTAACTCGTTAATTTATTGTTTTCAACAAAGTCTACTCACCCATTTAAATAATAAAACACAATTCAGCATTTTCTTCACTTTTCTCTGTTCTGTATAAACTCTAGGTTTCAGCCATTGGAATGCATTTTTTAACCAAACGCCATCAAAGCGTCCTGCCCATAACTCTTATGTGCGCTGTCAGCTTTGAGTCAGCAAGACGCATGTAGTTCAGTGTCCATGTCAGAGATGATAGTCAGAAAGGATTTTTTTATTGATTGACTTAGTGACCTTCGCAATGTACTCTCTGCGTAAAATTTAAAGCGTCCCGCACATCTCCACCAATAGTCAGGGGTGTGTTTAATCTTTGAGTTTTAGCTGTTCACAGATACATCTTGGTAGTAAACTACAATTATATTTGACTGCTCTGCCAACTAAACTTGGCTCCCTTCCCCAGATTCCACTAAATCCATGGTAAAATGCTGTTAGTAGTGCTGATGTACTTCTCAGCAAGAGGGGCTTCTAAATCAAATTCAAGGCCTCATACAACCTTGGACCGGTTCTGCATGATGAGCTAGATCCTATTAGGCCTGTTGAGATAAACGATAAATCAATTAATTGCACGATAAACCTATCGACCTCATTTTATCGTCTCTTCCTGCCTTCATCAATGCTTTACTAGAATCTACCTGTGATGCATGTGGCTAGAGTCAGCATAAAGTCCTGACTGAATGAAAACCATTATAACCTATTTATGTCACGTTAACGAAGAACAGCTGAAAAGTTACCGGGTTTATGAACTGCGGTAGCAATTTGGCTCCAACTCCTCCTCTTGTCATTTCTATATTCTTTGCATGAAATGTTGAATAAATATTAATGTTGTTTCCACATATCATCTCCAATGTCCGCTGGATTTTGGGTTGCCCCGTGTCAGCTGTTTGGGATTCCCCTCCATAATTTCCCCTCAGAAAACACGGAGGAGAATCCGTGCTTTCTGATTGGCTACCTGTCACATTCAGCGTTAAGCTCCCAGTCGGGGAAAACCCCTGATTTAGATCGGAGCGGCCACGACGATCTAAATCACACGACAGGATGATCGGTTACGAAATCACCAGCGACAATCTTAGATCGGCCAACGATCTAAGATTGTCATAAGGAGAAAATAGGGGCAAAAAATTGTGTAGTATGAACTACTGCATTAGGTGGTCGGATGTGCCCATCTTCTCTATTTAAATCTAGTGATTACTGAAGGGCAATACAGACTTCATAATCTGCACTATTTTGGTTGAATGCAGTATTTATTTCCACTTTGGCTTTTTGTTTAGTTTTTATTCAAGTACGTTTTTTGTTAATGGAGACTGAGAATCCTTTTTGTTTTTGTTTATTAGTTCCAGTGTTATGTGTTCTTTTGAAAATAAAGTGTATCCATCTATGGCAGGAAATCGCATGCATTATTAGTCATTTCCATTAAATCAGTGTCAAAAGGTCTTGAAACAATATTATCGTTTATCACAATAATTTTTTAGACAATTGCTCAGCAAAATTTATTGTGACAGGCCTAGATTCTATTGCACTATGAATCTCTCTAAAGCCTTGCGACCTGCCAGACTTATAAACCACTGGGGTAACCTGCTCCCTCCTCAAAGACAACATCTGCTCCGACTGAACTCTGTATTCCCGCCTAACCTCCTTGCTGCCAGTTGATCGCTCAATGTAGGGCGGATTATTTGTTTATCCATCATCCCCCACTGCATCACTCCCTCTTTTTTCACCTATTTTTATCAACACGATTGTAGCTATTGAGCTTTTTGAAGAAACTTCATATGCTAAGCTGCCTTGACATTTTTTTCAAATGTACTCAACAATGTCTGTCAGAACACCTGTTTGTGATCCATGTGACCGGCAACCTCTTCTTCTTCTCCATTTGGTTTTATTGACGGTTAGCAGAAAATCAATTACCGCCCCCTACCGGACTGGGATGTGAAGTGTAAGAAAAAAACTGACAAAAAGAAAAGTGGTCAAATACGGAAAATATTCGGTTAATGCGATCCCTGTACTCCACTCACTACAGCCATCAGCTGAATATGCTATCTTTAGCCAAGAACTGAGAGATTAATCCTTTGACACTCCCAATACCTGCTGGGATTTTTATTTTGTTCTACAAAATTTCTTTCTGTTCTCCTGTCAGAATTTGAATCTAATGGATTGTCTTCCTTTGTGGTGATGTTAGGTTTCACTGCTGTCGCTGTGTAAATGGCAGAGAGGTCCGGCTGCCTCCAGAAGGTGCTGACTGTACCAGTGACCTTTCCCAGTGGAACCACTGCTTTGACAAGAAGGGACTGAGGGACCAAGTGCTGAAAGCCTCCTGGGACAGTGCTGTCTCCTTTGTCTTTCATCAACGCTCTCATGAGGATCAGAAGGATGTTATATGAAACGGGAATCGAACTAAATGTTTTAAATTTTCTGTAGATACTTTTATTTATTTGGGCTTACTTCTTTGACTTCTGCTGTTCCCTCTTGTTTAATAAAACAGGATCACTTATGCAACCATATTTACAGTGGAAGACATGTTAGTTGGAAGGTCATTGACCTCCACAAATGTAGCTGTGGCAGGCATGTCTCTGTGTAGAGATTGCACTACTATGTGGTAAACGCTAGTGAAAT